TTTAAAAATCATGTTATTGCTTTTTTGTCTTTGTGTCTGCCGCGAATGAACCTTCCCATCGGCTTATTGTTGCCAGACCTCTGCGATCCTGTTGATTTTATCGAGGCCTTGGCTCAGCTCTCCTGTCTTAAGTTTGAATAAACGGTCAAAACCCCCCAGACATCTTGAATCACTCGTCTTTTCAGTTTTTTTTCTTATCCTTCTCTGGTCTGCCTTATCACGCCGCTTTGAAGCACAAAGAATCTAACCTTAGCAGCTTCGCCAAGCAAACAAGCAATATCTGACTTGTACAGAGAAAAACAGCTCCAGCAAGATTATGGGAGTATTTCTTCACCCTCCACCATGTCGGATGCCATAGTTATCCAGCCGAAAGACTGACGGAAAGTTTGGCTGAATAGAAGGTCAGCCATCTTTCTTCAACTCTCGTCTGAATGGAGCAATGTGGAGCTTTCAGCCCTTCTCTGTGACCGTCGCCCAGACTGCCTGGTAACACTGACTATCAGACGAAACACTTCCTTTGTATATGTCCGGCCTCGGCGCCTGGCCATCGCTGCGCCTGTTTTTATCTCCTTGTTTGCGTTTGAGAGAATATAAAGAGACGGCTACTTGTTTTTCACCATTATGGATGCCAGCTTCCGTATAAAACTATAAAGACACTCCGATATTTGAATACTGTTTTCTTTGAAAATCTTGCAAGTCGATACGTAGATTGGGTCTTTTTAGACATGTTTCAAATATTAAATGTTTTTGAGGACGAAGCGATTCTGAAAGGAAAGGTTAATCAAAGATGGCAAATAAGGTGAAATAGCTTTTGATTACAACTTTAAGATATAAGCTATAAATATTTATTGTGACTCAAACACTCAAAATGACAAGTCAAGTTTCCCAGGATGCCATGGAGCTACTCTGTGTGCTATGCATTTTATCCATATTAGTGTAGATGTTACCATGCAGTTAGCTCAGCAACATGCTAATGAACATTTGCAGTTTGTGCATAGTGTAGCTAACTGTTAGCAAAAGTGAAGTGAACGTTTAGCAAATTGCTAAGTCAAACTCTTGATATCAATTGTGAGTCTCATTATTATGACATGAAAAGCTTCTATGTGGGTTTTCATGTATAAAGTAGCAGACTGTTCTCAAACGGGTAGCAAGCATTCAGCAAAATCTCTGAGCTAAATGTTTCATAATGAGTTGCTGTATTTAAAACGCAATAATCAATTAGCTTAGCAACATGCTAATGTCAAACTAGAGACATCGAATATGAGTCATCCCTGCTGAAAAAAAAACAGTTTAAACCAGCCTAAGTTGGTTGGCTGATTTTAGCTGGTCGACCAGCCTGGTTTCAGAGGGGTTTTGGCCATTTCTAGGCTGATTCCCAGCCATTTCAAGCCTGGTCTTAGCTGGTCAGGCTGGAAAATTATCAGCTAAAACCAGCTTGACCAGCCTGGTTTAAGATGGACATAACTGGTCATATCCCAGCCTGACTACCTAAGACCAGGCTGTAAATGGCTGGAAACCAACCTGCAAATGGCCAAAACCCCTCTACAACCAGGCTGGTCAATCAGCTAAAACCAGCCTAATAGTCGTTTTTTTTTCTGTGGGGATAGCTTTCATGGCTGAGAGCTGCTGAATTAATGTATATTTTATTATAACTTTATAGGCTATAGCTATTAATGATTGCTCAAACAATGACTGCAAGTCAATTCTTCAAAGATGCCATGGGAACTATTCTGTGCGCTAAGCATTTTACCCAAACTAGTGTAGTTGTTACAATGTTGTTAGCTTAGCAACATGCTACTACAATTGACTGCAAGACACATTTAATGTGCAGTCCAGGCACAGTGTAGCTGTTAGCAGTAGCATAGTGAATGTTCAGCAAAATGCTAAGTCAAGCACTCCAAATCAATTATGAGTCACATTTTTATTAGGGGCTATATGTGAATTTTGTGTATAGAGTAGCAGATTGTTATTAATTGTGAGCGACATGTTACATGTTTAAATGAGTTACTGTATGTGAAATGCATTGATTATTGAATCATTAGCATAGCAACATGCTAACGTCCAACTGAAGACACAGATTATGGGTTAGTTTGTATTTTATTATAACTTAAAGATCTAGGCTATAGCTTATTATAATAGCTCAAACAATCACAATAGCTGCAATTCAAGTTTCCTATCATGGCAATCAACTACCCTTTGTGTTGTTGTTGTAGTGTAGTTGTTACCATGTTGGTAACTTAGAAACATGCTAATGGACAGCTAGAGAAGACCGTAATACACATATAATATGCAGTTCATGCATGATGCAGCTAACTGTTAGTAAAGATTTGGCATTAAGCAAAAAAACATTCAGCAAAACAATTTCTAAAATCAATTGTGAGTAATATTTTTATGACAAGAGAAGATACTTCAACGTGCTAATGTTGAAATATTTTGAAGTGGTATTTTTGAAAACATTTAGCCACATGTTTCATGACACAAGAAGCAACTGTTTGTGTAGTAAACTTAAAGAATATTTAGCTTAGCAGCATGATAAACATCAAACTATTGACAAGGTTTATGAGTAATATTCAGCACTATAACCCAAATCAGAGTGTCATGCTGCTAGATTAGCAACATGTCAAGTTGTGATACACATTTTATGTATATTGTAAAAAACAATTTGTTAGCAACATTGTATTGAGCATTCAACAAAATGGTAACTTCCAAATATACTGCAAGCCACATTTTCCATGGAGTTCTTGCATGTTATGCCTTTGTAAGGATATCAGTATTGTGCTGCCACTTTAGAAACATACTTTAACTCTTTTGAATTTGTTTCTCACAATATTAAATGTCACTGTCAATGGTTAGGATGCTTTGAAGAATTTTGATGATGAATGGTACACATATGTGTGTTTATGTAACTTTGTCCATCAAATTTTGTGGTGCATCACAATCCTACAGTGTCTTTACCTTCCAATGACAGCAACATTAAATTTAACTGATAATCATGTTGTTACAGTCACAAGGCATTTTTACCGCAGTATGTGAAGAATAGGACCGACTTAACTCTAAAAGTAGCTGCTTTCACATTACTGTCACCCATAAATCTGCTGTGGGTGAATGAAGTCTGTCTGGGATGAATGAAATCCTGATGTCACTGTGAATCGTCTCACGTGGCTCCCCATTGTGCCCAGTGGTGCTGACTTCCCATCATGCTCCAGAGAATATAATAGCAGCCCAGTCTGTTTCTCTTGGACGTACGTGTGTTTGCTCTACAGTTTGCATATATTCTGCGCAAAAGGATTCACATTCTCATAACTGAGATCAAGTGCCTGTGGCTTGCTTTACTGCTACCGCTAAAACGTTTTGCAGCGAATGAGTTAGCCATACTCAAACTGAATGAAAAAAAATATGGGAGAGAGAAAGGGAGAGAGAGACTGAAAGAAGGAGAGAACCTGCATGGGAAGCAGAGATCAAACGGTTATGGAATTAGATTTATTTTAGTTTCTATCATTAAAAATCACTACCGATTCAAAATCCTCGAACCAAATAATTAGCAAATTAGCCTCAGTGAATTCCAGTAAACAGTATCAACAGCATCCATTTTTGACTACACTGTAAAACGTATTTTTGTAGATTGTAAATAAAGCTACGATTATTTAGATTTAGATAAGATTGTTTTGGACAAATTAGTTAATTCATTTAAAATAAAGTCATTCTGAAGTGAAAAGCCAACTCAAAATGGCAGGTGAGAAAGTAAAAAAAATGTTGAGAAGCTATTAGTTTAGCACCATTAGCTTATTAGCTTAATGCTAAACTTATTGTTAGTTTCATTTATCATGATGCTGGGGACCCTCTAATAAATATGAATAAATATTTTTACTATAGGCTACTAGGTTGTTAGCTTAGCCATATGCTAATGTACACCTCTAATAATCAATTACCGTACTCATCTGTTAGCAACATGCTAATGGCAAACAATCAACGTTAACCATTAGATTATATCTGTGCAACACGATTGCAATACAACTCAAAGTCATTCTGAAGTGAAAAGCTGACACAAAATGGCAGGTGAGAAGGTGAAAAATTGAGTAGCTATTAGTTTATCAACATTAGCTTATTAGCTTAATGTCAAAGTCCTCTCAAACTTATTGTTAGTTTCATTTATCATGATGCTAAGGACCCTCTAATAAAAAAAAAATAATAATATTTTTTATTAGAGTAGGCAACTGGGTTTTAGCTTAGCAATATGCTAACTTACATCTCCTCCCTGCTGAAAAATCCAGCTTAAACCAGCCTAGGCTGGTTTAAGCTGGATTTTTCAGCATGGAAAATCAATAAACCGGTTAGCAACATGATAATGGCAAACAATCGACGACAACCAGAAATCTGTGCAACATAACTGCAATACTACTCAATTTTCGAGATTCACAACATCTAAAATAACTACAATGGGGGGGTGGGGGGGTAAAGTAAGTTGTTATAAGGATTACAATTACTGGAATATGTTTTTAGTCCTACAGTCCTTCCAAAGAAACATTTTCTAGCTAGTTCTGACTCGGAAACTTTTTTTGTAGCCGTAACCACAAATTAGCCATATATTGCTAGACAAAACAGAAAATCACTAACTAAAATCATATTTTCGGTAAAATCATTTATTGTTTTTTTTTATTATTTTTATTATTTACTGTTATACAATTGTTAATCAATACAAAAAAGATTTGAAATTTAATAAAAGCAAGGTTAATTTTCATAAGGGTACACGTTTACGTACTGTATTCTTGACACTTTGGATCACAGTAGGCTACATTTGGCTGTGCTCAAAGGTGATCAGAGAACTGCTGTTTCTGTTCCGCTGTTACATAACCATTTATCAGTTTCAATCAGTGTATGTGAGAGTATTAAAAATTTTTATGCTGGCCATGTAACACACATCTTGACAGATTATTGTGTGAACCCTGCCCTTACCCACTATGACTCCAGCGGTGTGTCTGGCGTAAAAAGTGCCTTCTTACCTAAGTGTGCTTCTGGCTCTCTTCTCATCTCCGCTTGGCTCTGTTTCCATTGACTGATCTCATATCGACACATCTGCTTCTGTTCATTTCTCCATCTGAAGAGTGTGCCTGTTTTACAAAAGAGAATTGATCATATTCTTGATTTCACTCAAATATTTACGCATAATTCACTGAAATGTCATAATAATTCATGATTTTTATTACATTGTGGGGATTTGATAATTTAGTGATTAAACTAACTTTCTGAATTTCTGCTTTCAAAGCATCACAAAGAGAGTTAACAATCAACACAAGGTTTGGCTCACGTTTTAATACAGACACTTCAGTGTTCACAAAAACTTCAGCTTCATGAGTTCACATGTTTATATGATTCTAATGAGTGATAACAGTAAACAGATGTGGCTTCCTGTCCACAACAGAGGAGCTCAAGCACAGTTTCATACCGCATAGCATCTATGCAAGCCAGATTTTATGAGTATTTTTTAAATAATTAAACCAATGTATCAATTCAGCAAGGAATTTCAGCAATGCATAAAAAGTGAGATTGAAAACACGTTTACTATTCAAAAGATTTTGCAGTGCTGTATGCAGGGGCGTCGCTAGACCCCATTTACTGGAGCATGTGCCCCAGTAAAAATTGCCAGTGCCCCAGTAAATGCTTTAAGATTAGATTTACTTTATATGCAAGTTTATTTATTAAGAGTGGTAATCCCAGAATAAAGTCGTTATTCTCTATATGCAACTGAACCAACACTGATGAAAGTAATGTAGTTTATTCAAAAAGCAAACTGAGCATGCGCACAGAAAAAAAAAAAACATACCCGCATGTAGCACACATCGCTCCTGCTTGATGCTGACGTGCTGCTCTGCTCCCGGTTGTTAACATGCACAGCGGAAAAATAGCCGCACCATTCAAGCACCAGTGTAATACTCTTTTATGCTGAGGTGTCAGCACATGTTTTTCAAGTCAACAAAAACAAAGTTTATTTAATATACTGTAACAGTGATCTTATTTATACTAAGCATGGCTCCTGATAGAATTTTATTTTATTTATTTTTTTGTATGAAGCAGAAAGGAAGGATGAAGTCAGGGAGGTTAGACTTGATAAACCAAATTTTCAGCCATGAGTCAGGTCTAAGACAACAAACAACAGATTACTCTAAAAAACATATTTTTTTTGTGTTCAATTGAATTGTCTAGAGCATTTCATTCTAATAAAATTAATATTCATGCAAAAGATTTCTTAAATTATCTTAGCATCCCTCTAGTTTTCTCTTTAGATTGTTTTCCAGTTACATTTATGAATAATTTCTGTTATTTATTTAGAATAATAATTGCATAATACCAATAATACAGTTTATTTATATTTATATACATATATTTTTTATTTGTTTATTTATTTATTTATTCTTTTTATTATAATGTTTTCGAGGGGAGCTGTGCCCCAGTAGAGCTTTAAGTCTAGCAACGCCCCTGGCTGTATGTACTGTATACTTAACTAATACTTGCATTGTACTCCTCTAAGAACAGCAACAGCAATCTTGTAGTGATTGCGCTGCTTTTTTCAGGGATAATTATTGTGATATCATGATTGCAACAGATAAATACTGGGAGGTATCTCTGTAGACTGATGGCATTTCATGCTGTTCAGCCTTATAATCTTAAAATGTGAGCAAAATCACCTGTTTTGTCATCACTTTAGACATTATGCTAGAGAATTATTCTAGCTCTAAAGTGATGCTGGTAAAGTAGCAACGGTTTCTGCTGATCTGACGTCAGCTGCAGATGTGAATGAATGGTGGATAAAAATAGTTCCTATTACTAAAGGTTTTGAGACTCTTCATGTTTGATTTTCGTTTTTATACACACGATTATGCCGTCAACGCACGCCTCCCAGTGCCGAAATACATTGCTCATTTATATATTTATAATGTATAAAAATGCATATTTAACAACATTGTCCTTCACTCAAAAAAGGAACTTTTCTGTTTAAACTACTTATTCAAAATGAGTTGAAGGGTTTTTAAGGTTTTTTGGGGGGACAATGTAATTGTTTAATGTTCAGTCCACTTCAGTTTGTTAAAAACAATGAAGTTAACAGATTTTTAGGGACCGAGCACCGAAACGGTGCGTAGGCCCTATTGGAATTGCTCTGTTTATTATTATTCTTCTTCTTCTTCTTCTTCCGCGGAATGAATCGCGGTTTTGAGGGGCTAAACATGCCCGAAAACTCACGCAACTTTGCACACGCCTCAGAAGTGGCGAAAATTTACGTTTGTTAAGGGCTTCGGAAGTGGGCGTGGCAAAATGACTCGACAGCGCCACCTAGAAAAATTAAACGGACGAGCCCCCGATCCACGAATCACGCACATGCATGAAAATTGGCACACACCTCAAACACACCAAAACATACGAAAAAGTCTCTTGGAGCCATATCTCAAACCCAACAGGAAGTCGGATATTTTTTACTTCCTGCAGCGAAAAAGTGGCGTTTTTGCCATTTCCAGGCGTTGTACTTTAACGAACTCCTCCTAGGGATTTTATCCGATCGACACCAAAATTGGGTTTTGATATCTAAAGGCCTTGGCGATGTTAAATTGCGAAGCTTTAGAGTTTTCATCGATGGGCGTGTCCGTGGCGGCCTCGCAAACTTTGACGATTCGCCACAAAACAGGAAGTCGTTATAACTCAGGCATGCATTATCCGATCTGCCTCAAAATTCATACGCTTGATAAGCGTCCTGACCTGAACACGTTTACATGCCAATATCCAGATACAGTTACAGCGCCACCTGCTGGCCACAGGAAATGACATGATTTACGGAATTATAAACTCCTCCCACAAATTTTATCGTATCAACACCAAAATAGAGTGGTGTTATCTGAAAGCTCTAGCGATGATATATTGTGAAGATCTAGAGTTTTCGCAGAGGGGTGTGTCCGTGGCGGTATGACAAACCTCAACGCTTCGCCATGGAACAGGAAGTCCTTATAACTCAACCACACAATGTCCGATCTGCCTGAAACTTCACATGGTTGATAAACGTCATCTCTTGAACACATCCACATAACAATATTGAAGTGGGCGTGGCAAAATGACTCGACAGCGCCACCTAGAAAAATTAAATGGACGAGCCCCCGATCTACGAATCACGCACATGCACAAAAATTGGCACACACCTCAAACATGGAAAAACATACGAAAAAGTCTCTTGGAGCCATATCTCAAACCCAACAGGAAGTCGGATATTTTTAACTTCCTGTGGCGAAAAAGTGGCGCTTTTGCCATTTCCAGGCGTTGTATTTTAACGAACTCCTCCTAGGGATTTTATCTGATAAACACCAAAATTGGGTTTTGTCATCTTAAAGCCTTGGTGATGTTAGATTGCGAAGCTTTAGAGTTTTCATCGATGGGCGTGTCCGTGGCGGCCTCGCAAACTTTGATGATTCGCCACAAAACAGGAAGTCTTTATAACTCTGGCATGCAATATTCGATCTGCCTCAAAATTCACACATTTAATAACAGTCCTGACCTGATCAGGTTTACGTGCCGATATCCAGTTACAGCTATAGCGCCACCTGCTGGCCACAGGAAATGACATGTTTGACACTCTAACAAACTCCTCCCACAAACTTTCCCGTATCAGCACCAAAATAGAGTGAAGTCATCTGAAAGCTCTAGCGATGATATATTGTGAAGATCTAGAGTTTTTGCAGAGGGGCGTGTCTGTGGTGGCATGACAAACCTCAACGCTTCGCCATGGAACAGGAATTTCTTATAACTCAACCACACAATGTCTGATCTGCCTGAAACTTCACATGATTGATAAAAGTCCTCTCCTGAACACATCCACATAACAATATTGAGTCAGTCATAGCGCCACCTGCTGGCAGAAGGTAGTTTGGCTTGTAACTCGGCCACACAATGTCAGATCTGCCTAAAATGTCACATGGTTGATAAAAGTCCTCTCCAAAACACATCTACATAATAATATTGAGTCAATCATAACGCCACCTGCTGGCAGAAGGTAGTTTGGCTTATAACTCAGCCACACAATGTCCCATGTGCCTGAAATTTTACATGGTTGATAAGATTCCTCTCCGGAAGACATCTACATGCCAATCTTAAGTCACAGTTATAGCGCCACCTGCTGACAGATGGTAGTTTGCAGTATAACTCAACCACACAAAGTCCGATCTGGCTGAAACTTCACAAGTTTGATAAAAGTCCTCTCCTGAACACATCTACATAACAACATTGAGTCTGTCATAGCGCCACCTGCTGACAAAAGGCAGTTTGGCTTATAACTCAGCAAAACAATGTCCGATCTGCCTGAAACTTCACATGGTTGATAAGTTTCCTCTCCTGAAGACATCTACATGCCAATCGTGAGTCACAGTTATAGCGCCACCTGCTGACAGGAGGAAATTTGGCATAAATCTGTTATTTTCTCAGATTTTTTTATTATATCGGCTTAAATTATTACTGTTCGCTGTTCTCTGTCATCCTGAGGCCACCGGGCGGCGGTGAGCCCGAGTGCGAGGTCCCTATCATCGCTGCTTGCAGCTTTAATTAGGGACCGAGCACCGAACGGTGCAAGGCCCTATTGGAATTGCTCCGTTTATTATTATTATTCTTTTCCGGAATGAATCGCGATTTTGAGGGCCTTACCATGCCCGAAAACTCACGAAACTTTGCACACACCTCAGAAGTGGCGAAAATTTACGTTTGTTACGGGTTTTGGTAATGGGCGTGGCAAAATGACTCGACAGCGCCACCTAGAAAAATTAACCGGACAAGCCCCCGATCCACGAATCACGCACATGCAAGAAAATCGGCACACACCTCAAACATGCCAAAACATACGAAAAAGTCTCTTGGAGCCATATCTCAAACCCAACAGGAAGTCGGATATTTTTAACTTCCTGCGGCGAAAAAGTGGCGTTTTTGCCATTTCCAGGCGTTATATTTTAACGAACTCCTCCTAGGGATTGTATCCGATCAACACCAAAATTGGGTTTTGTCATCTAAAGGCCTTGGCGATGTTAAATTGCGAAGCTTTAGAGTTTTCGTCGATGGGCGTGTCCATGGCGGCCTCGCAAACTTT